CATTCATTCATGACATGTGATCGCATTAGCCAATCAGCAGCCAGCCAGCCAGCACTGTGTAATGGTGGAGCTATAAATTGCGGCCATCTTACAATTCTCCATTAGCCTCCGGTCATTCAAGAGAGACAGACCTGTCTGTATTAGGGACAGAGTTAGGGCCAGAGAGACTTTGGCCACAGAATCGTTACTTAGGGACACAGAATCGTTACTTAGGGACACAGAATCGTTACTCAGGGACACAGAATTGTTACTCAGGGACACAGAATTGTTACTCAGGGACACAGACACAGAATTGTTACTCAGGGACACAGACACAGAATTGTTACTGAGGGACACAGAATTGTTACTGAGGGACACAGAATTGTTACTGAGGGACACAGAATTGTTACTCAGGGACACAGAATTGTTACTCAGGGACACAGAATTGTTACTCAGGGGACACAGAATTGTTACTCAGGGACACAGAATTGTTACTCAGGGACACAGAATTGTTACTCAGGGACACAGAATTGTTACTCAGGGACACAGAATTGTTACTCAGGGACACAGAATGTTACTCAGGGACACAGTTGTTACTCAGGGACACAGAATTGTTACTCAGGGACACAGAATTGTTACTCAGGGACACAGAATTGTTACTCAGAATTGACACAGAATTGTTACTCAGGGACACAGAATTGTTACTGAGGGACACAGAATGTTACTCAGGGACACAGAATTGTTACTCAGGGACACAGAATTGTTACTCAGGGACACACAGAATTGTTACTCAGGGACACACAGAATGTTACTGAGGGACACAGAATTGTTACTCAGGGACACAGAATTGTTACTCAGGGACACAGAATTGTTACTCAGGGACACAGAATTGTTACTCAGGGACAGAATTGTTACTCAGGGACACAGAATTGTTACTCAGGGACACAGAATTGTTACTCAGGGACACAGAATTGTTACTCAGGGACACAGAATTGTTACTCAGGGACACAGAATTGTTACTCAGGGACACAGAATTGTTACTGAGGGACACAGAATTGTTACTCAGGGACACAGAATTGTTACTCAGGGACACAGAATTGTTACTCAGGGACACAGAAGAATTGTTACTCAGGGGACACAGAATTGTTACTCAGGGACACAGAATTGTTACTCAGGGACACAGAATTGTTACTGAGGGGACTCAGGGACACAGAATTGTTACTCAGGGACACAGAATTGTTACTCAGGGACAGACAGAATTGTTACTCAGGGACACAGAATTGTTACTCAGGGACACAGAATCGTTACTCAGGGACACAGAATTGTTACTCAGGGACACAGAATTGTTACTCAGGGACACAGAATCGTTGAATCGTTGAATTAAAGAGTATGTCAGACAACACGCAGAGGAGTGGCAGAGGAGGCAATGTTTCAGGAGCGAGCAGACGTGGCAGCAGAGGAAGGGGTCGAGGGCAGCACTAGTCGCAGCCAGAGGCCAGTGCCCGGTGTCATCCAGCGGTCGTGTCTCCACCGACAACCCTGCCGTCATCGATTGGTTGGCTCGGTCGTCTTACTCCTCTTCCCAGGTCACCTCTGACACCTACAGCCAACGGTCGGTGGGTACGTCAGGACACAACCGTTAGTTGGCATGGCCCGGGAGCAAGCCCACTGAAATCACGTGTCCTCTACCTGCCCCTGTCCTTTGGTGTTCCCTCACCAAGCGAAGTATCGCATGCTGTGGGCTCAGCCCCACTGTACAGTGAGGAAGAGCTAACAGAGGGCGGTCAGGAACGGGGGGAGACATCCGCCTCTTCAGCAGCCAGGCGAAGAAGAAGTACTGGCGAGGAGAGTGGCTCGGTAGCCGGTCTAGAGACAGGTCTGTCTCCTGACCCACACGCAGCCGAGGGGGCTAGTAGTGAGGCGGAGACCCTAATTGATTGATGATGAGGCTGATCGCACTTGGCAGCCTCGTCGTCATCTGCCAGGCCCGTAATCTGCCATGGGCCCCCGTACCGACTCCTCATGCTGCTGCCAGGCCCGTAATCTGTCATGGGGCCCTGTACCGCCTCCTCATGCTGCTGCCAGGAGGTCCAGTGGAGTGTGTCATGGGTCCCTGTACGGCCTCCCATTGCTGCTGTCTCCATCGCCCACACTCTGCCATGTGCCACTTTCAGGTCTCCTCACACTGCTGGTGGGTTCCATTTTGTCATAGGGTGCTGGCAGATTACGGGCCTCCCATTGCTGCTGCCAGGCCCGTAATCTGCCATGGGCCCCAGGGAATTACCGACTCCTCATGCTGCTGCCAGGCCCGTAATCTGTCATGGGCCCCTGTACCGCCTCCTCATGCTGCTGCCAGGTCCAGAGTGTGTCATGGGTCCCTGTACGGTACCCATTGCTGCTGTCTCCATCGCCACACTCTGCCATGTGCCACTTTCAGGTCTCCTCACTGCTGGTGGGTTCCATTTTGTCATAGGGTGCTGGCAGATTACGGGCCTCCCATTGCTGCTGCCAGGGCCCGTAATCTGTCATGGGCCCCCTGTACCGCCTCCTCATGCTGCTGCCAGGTCCAGAGTGTGTCATGGGTCCCTGTACGGCCTCCCATTGCTGCTGTCTCCATCGCACACACTCTGCCACTTTGTGCCACTTTCAGGTCTCCTCACACTGCTGGTGGGTTCCATTTTGTCATAGGGTGCTGGCAGATTACGGGCCTCCCATTGCTGCTGCCAGGCCCGTAATCTGTCATGGGCCCCTGTACCGCCTCCTCATGCTGCTGCCAGGTCCAGAGTGTGTCATGGGTCCCTGTACGGCCTCCCATTGCTGCTGTCTCCATCGCCACACTCTGCCATGTGCCACTTTCAGGTCTCCTCACACTGCTGGTGGGTTCCATTTTGTCATAGGGTGCTGGCAGATTACGGGCCTCCCATTGCTGCTGCCAGGCCCGTAATCTGTCATGGGCCCCCTGTACCGCCTCCTCATGCTGCTGCCAGGTCCAGAGTGTGTCATGGGTCCCTGTACCGCCTCCTCATGCCTGTATGCCTCCCATGTGCATGCTGTACGGTCTCCATTGCTGCTGCCACACTCTGCCATGTGCCACTTTCAGGTCTCCTCACACTGCTGGTGGGTTCCATTTTGTCATAGGGTGCTGGCAGATTACGGGCCTCCCATTGCTGCTGCCAGGCCCGTAATCTGTCATGGGCCCCCTGTCCTCCTGCCGCCTCCTCTCTGCTGCTGCCAGGTCCAGAGTGTGTCATGGGTCCCTGTACGGCCTCCCATTGCTGCTGTCTCCATCGCCACACTCTGCCATGTGCCACTTTCAGGTCTCCTCACACTGCTGGTGGGTTCCATTTTGTCATAGGGTGCTGGCAGATTACGGGCCTCCCATTGCTGCTGCCAGGCCCGTAATCTGCCATGGGCCCCCGTACCGACGCCTCCTCATGCTGCTGCTGGCCAGGCCCTAGTCTGTCATGGGCCCCTGTACCGCCATCATGCTGCTGCCAGGTCCAGAGTGTGTCATGGGTCCCTGTACGGCCTCCCATTGCTGCTGTCTCCATCGCCACACTCTGCCATGTGCCACTTTCAGGTCTCCTCACACTGCTGGTGGGTTCCATTTTGTCATAGGGTGCTGGCAGATTACGGGCCTCCCATTGCTGCTGCCAGGCCCGTAATCTGTCATGGGCCCCGTGTACCCCTCCTCCTCATGCTGCTGCCAGGTCCAGAGTGTGTCATGGGTCCCTGTACGGCCTCCCATTGCTGCTGTCTCCATCGCCACACTCTGCCATTGCCACTTTCAGGTCTCCTCACACTGCTGGTGGGTTCCATTTTGTCATAGGGTGCTGGCAGATTACTGGGGCCTCCCATTGCTGCTGCTGCCAGGCCCGTAATCTGTCATGGGCCCCTGTACCGCCTCCTCATGCTGCTGCCAGGTCCAGAGTGTGTCATGGGTCCCTGTACGGCCTCCCATTGCTGCTGTCTCCATCGCCACACTCTGCCATGTGCCACTTTCAGGTCTCCTCACACTGCTGGTGGGTTCCATTTTGTCATAGGGTGCTGGCAGATTACGGGCCTCCCATTGCTGCTGCCAGGCCGTAATCCCATTGCTGCTCCCATGCTGCTGCCAGGCCCGTAATCTGTCATGGGCCCCTGTACCGCCTCCTCATGCTGCTGCAGGCCAGGTCCAGAGTGTGTCATGGGTCCCTGTACGGCCTCCCATTGCTGCTGTCTCCATCGCCACACTCTGCCATGTGCCACTTTCAGGTCTCCTCACACTGCTGGTGGGTTCCATTTTGTCATAGGGTGCTGGCAGATTACGGGCCTCCCATTGCTGCTGCCAGGCCCGTAATCTGTCATGGGCCCCTGTACCGACTCCTCATGCTCCTCATGCTGCTGCCAGGTCCAGAGTGTGTCATGGGTCCCTGTACGGCCTCCCATTGCTGCTGTCTCCATCGCCACACTCTGCCATGTGCCACTTTCAGGTCTCCTCACACTGCTGGTGGGTTCCATTTTGTCATAGGGTGCTGGCAGATTACGGGCCTCCCATTGCTGCTGCCAGGCCCGTAATCTGCCATGGGCCCCCTGTACCGACTCCTCATGCTGCTGCCAGGCCCGTAATCTGTCATGGGCCCCTGTACCGCCTCCTCATGCTGCTGCCAGGTCCAGAGTGTGTCATGGGTCCCTGTACGGCCTCCCATTGCTGCTGTCTCCATCGCCACACTCTGCCATGTGCCACTTTCAGGTCTCCTCACACTGCTGGTGGGTTCCATTTTGTCATAGGGTGCTGGCAGATTACGGGCCTCCCATTGCTGCTGCCAGGCCGTAATCTGTCATGGGCCCCTGTACCGCCTCCTCATGCTGCTGCTGCTGCCAGGTCCAGAGTGTGTCATGGGTCCCTGTACGCCTCCCATTGCTGCTGTCTCCATCGCCACACTCTGCCATGTGCCACTTTCAGGTCTCCTCACACTGCTGGTGGGTTCCATTTTGTCATAGGGTGCTGGCAGATTACGGGCCTCCCATGCTGCTGCCAGGCCCGTAATCTGTCATGGGCCCCCTGTACCGCCTCCTCATGCTGCTGCCAGGTCCAGAGTGTGTCATGGGTCCCTGTACGGCCTCCCATTGCTGCTGTCTCCATCGCCACACTCTGCCATGTGCCACTTTCAGGTCTCCTCACACTGCTGGTGGGTTCCATTTTGTCATAGGGTGCTGGCAGATTACGGGCCTCCCATTGCTGCTGCCAGGCCCGTAATCTGCATGTACCTGCCAGGCCCCCGTAATCTGTCATGGGCCCCTGTACCGCCTCCTCATGCTGCTGCCAGGTCCAGAGTGTGTCATGGGTCCCTGTACGGCCTCCCATTGCTGCTGTCTCCATCGCCACACTCTGCCATGTGCCACTTTCAGGTCCACTTTCAGGTCTCCATTTTGTCTCACACTGCTGGTGGGTTCCATTTTGTCATAGGGTGCTGGCAGATTACGGGCCTCCCATTGCTGCTGCCAGGCCCGTAATCTGTCATGGGCCCCTGTACCGCCTCCTCATGCTGCTGCCAGGTCCAGAGTGTGTCATGGGTCCCTGTACGGCCTCCCATTGCTGCTGTCTCCATCGCCACACTCTGCCATGTGCCACTTTCAGGTCTCCTCACACTGCTGGTGGGTTCCATTTTTTGTCATAGGGTGCTGGCAGATTACGGGCCTCCCATTGCTGCTGCCAGGCCCGTAATCTGCCATGGGCCCCCGTACCGACTCCTCATGCTGCTGCCAGGCCCGTAATCTGTCATGGGCCCCTGTACCGCCTCCTCATGCTGCTGCCAGGTCCAGAGTGTGTCATGGGTCCCTGTACGGCCTCCCATTGCTGCTGTCTCCATCGCCACACTCTGCCATGTGCCACTTTCAGGTCTCCTCACATGCTGGTGGGTTCCATTTTGTCATAGGGTGCTGGCAGATTACGGGCCTCCCATTGCTGCTGCCAGGCCCGTAATCTGCCATGGGCCCCCCCGTACCGCCTCCTCATGCTGCTGCCAGGTCCAGAGTGTGTCATGGGTCCCTGTACGGCCTCCCATTGCTGCTGTCTCCATCGCCACACTCTGCCATGTGCCACTTTCAGGTCTCCTCACACTGCTGGTGGGTTCCATTTTGTCATAGGGTGCTGGCAGATTACGGGCCTCCCATTGCTGCTGCCAGGCCCGTAATCTGTCATGGGCCCCTGTACCGCCTCCTCATGCTGCTGCCAGGTCCAGAGTGTGTCATGGGTCCCTGTACGGCCTCCCATTGCTGCTGTCTCCATCGCCACACTCTGCCATGTGCCACTTTCAGGTCTCCTCACACTGCTGGTGGGTTCCATTTTGTCATAGGGTGCTGGCAGATTACGGGCCTCCCATTGCTGCTGCCAGGCCCGTAATCTGTCATGGGCCCCCTGTACCGCCTCCTCATGCTGCTGCCAGGTCCAGAGTGTGTCATGGGTCCCTGTACGGCCTCCCATTGCTGCTGTCTCCATCGCCACACTCTGCCATGTGCCACTTTCAGGTCTCCTCACACTGCTGGTGGGTTCCATTTTGTCATAGGGTGCTGGCAGATTACGGGCCTCCCATTGCTGCTGCCAGGCCCGTAATCTGCCATGGGCCCCCGTACCGACTCCTCATGCTGCTGCCAGGCCAAGGTGGAATTCAACCCTACATATGTTGGACCGCCTTTGTACAGCGAAAGGCCCCCATTTGCTGCTGTTACAAGCCACAAAGGTACTCCCCTGTGTAACTTAGATGTCAGGTCTCATTGGCAGCTGCATGGTGTTCCATCACCACACCTGCTTGCTCAGGCCCTTTGAGGAGGCCTCGCTATTCGTGAGTCGGCAGGACTATGGCTGCCATGAACGACGTCATTCCTCTGTCATTGGGTCCTGATTACGGGCCTCCCATTGCTTAACATGGCTGGGGTCAGGGTCCGGTAGACGTGCTGCACAGATCCAACGCCACATGTCCCTGTGGGTCCCTGTACGGACAGGAATTGCTGAGGAGGTAGAGGCCACACATTGCCATGTGCTCAGGAATCCTCCTTGAGTGAAATGGGTGGTTTTTCCACTTTGTCATAGGGTGGAGGAGCAGGAGCATCGGGCCTCCCAGGAGGCTGCTGCCAGGCCCGTAATCTGCCATGGGCCCCGTACCGCAGTCATGCTGTGCCAGATGGAGTGTGTCATGGAGTCCCTCGCATTCCTTGGCTGCAAATGGCCCATAGCATGCTCGGTTGCCTGTGCCTTTGCTGCTGACTCCGAATAATAACCATCAGACAGAGGGATCCACTTTTGGCTGTCCACCTTGTTGGACCCTCGCTACCGTTCAAAAATGGTGGCCTTTTTCACACCTGCTGCTGAGGGAGGCCAAAATAATCTACTATAAAAACCACCTATGTAGTCAGTTGGCTCTCTGCCTTTCTGCATGGCAACGTCCATCCTCATTGCTGCTGCCTCCATACACACACTGTGGGCCCTGTGCGCTCGCGTTCTGCTGCCATGGCAGCAGGGGAGGGGTCATGGGGTCCCTGTAGCAGTGGCAGCTCCCATTGCTGCTGCGGCCAGGCCTCAGTCTGCATGTCGATGATGAGTAGCTTGCTCTTCACCAGGTGCAGTGAGGAAACACTGCTACTAATCCATGGGCCCCTGTACCGCCTCCCTCAGCTGCTGCAGCATCAGGTGGGACCTGGAGCAGGCCTCCATTGCTGCTTGGGCCCTACTTGGACAGCCCCTGCCAACCGAGGTAGACAATCCCTTGACTACTGGGCAACGAAACTTGACCTTTGGCCCCAACTAGCTGAATTTGCCCTTGAAAGGCTGCTGCCAGGCCCAGTAGCGTGGCATGGGCCCGTGTTTAGTGCGGCAGGAGGTCATTGTAACTCCGCGGAGGTCCACGACTGTCCACCCAAAGTGTGGAGAGACTGTCACGTTTGTGAAAATGAATCAGGCGTGGATTAGTCTGGATTTCAAACCACCAGTTCCTGACACAACTGACTAAATCCGCCATGAATCATGCCCCAAACATGTGCTGGTGCTGGTGTGTTTTTTGTCATAGGGCCTCTGGCAGGCCTTCGGGCCTCCCATGCTGCTGCCAGGCCCGTAATCTGCCATGGGCCCCTGTACCGCCTCCTCATGCTGCTGCCAGGTCCAGAGTGTGTCATGGGTCCTGTACGGCCTCCCATTGCTGCTGTCTCCATCGCCACACTCTGCCATGTGCCACTTTCAGGTCTCCTCACACTGCTGGTGGGTTCCATTTTGTCATAGGGTGCTGGCAGATTACGGGCCTCCCATTGCTGCTGCCAGGCCCGTAATCTGCCATGGGCCCCCGTACCGACTCCTCATGCTGCTGCCAGGCCCGTAATCTGTCATGGGCCCCTGTACCGCCTCCTCATGCTGCTGCCAGGTCCAGAGTGTGTCATGGGTCCCTGTACGGCCTCCCATTGCTGCTGTCTCCATCGCCACACTCTGCCATGTGCCACTTTCAGGTCTCCTCACACTGCTGGTGGGTTCCATTTTGTCATAGGGTGCTGGCAGATTACGGGCCTCCCATTGCTGCTGCCAGGCCCGTAATCTGCCATGGGCCCCCGTACCGACTCCTCATGCTGCTGCCAGGCCCGTAATCTGTCATGGGCCCCTGTACCGCCTCCTCATGCTGCTGCCAGGTCCAGAGTGGTCATGGGTCCCTGTACGGCCTCCCATTGCTGCTGTCTCCATCGCCACACTCTGCCATGTGCCACTTTCAGGTCTCCTCACACTGCTGGTGGGTTCCATTTTGTCATAGGGTGCTGGCAGATTACGGGGGCTCCCATTGCTGCTGCCAGGCCCGTAATCTGCCATGGGCCCCCCCCGTACCGACTCCTCATGCTGCTGCCAGGCCCGTAATCTGTGTCATGGGTCCCTGTACGGCCTCCCATTGCTGCTGGTCCATCGCCACACTCTGTCATGGGCCACTTTCAGGTCTCCTCACACTGCTGGTGGGTTCCAATTTGTCATAGGGTGCTGGCAGATTACGGGCCTCCCCATCTGCTGCTGCCATGGCCCGTAATCTGCCATGGGCCCCTGTACCGCCTCCTCATGCTGCTGCCAGGTCCAGAGTGTGTCATGGGTCCCTGTACGGCCTCCCATTGCTGCTGTCTCCATCGCCACACTCTGCCATGTGCCACTTTCAGGTCTCCTCACACTGCTGTGGTGGGTTCCATTTTGTTAGGGTGTCATAGGGTGCTGGCAGATTACGGGCCTCCCATTGCTGCTGCCAGGCCCGTAATCTGTCATGGGCCCCTGTACCGCCTCCTCATGCTGCTGCCAGGTCCAGAGTGTGTCATGGGTCCCTGTACGGCCTCCCATTGCTGCTGTCTCCATCGCCACACTCTGCCATGTGCCACTTTCAGGTCTCCTCACACTGCTGGGTGGGTTCCATTTTGTCATAGGGTGGTGCATTGGCAGATTACGGGCCCCCTCCCATCCTGCTGCTGCCAGGCCCGTAATCTGTCATGGGCCCCTGTACCGCCTCCTCATGCTGCTGCCAGGTCCAGAGTGTGTCATGGGTCCCTGTACGGCCTCCCCCATTGCTGTGTCTCCATCGCCACACTCTGCATGTGCCACTTTCAGGTCTCCTCACACTGCTGGTGGGTTCCATTTTGTCATAGGGTGCTGGCAGATTACGGGCCTCCCATTGCTGCTGCAGATTATGGGCCTCCCATTGCTGCTGCCAGGCCCGTAATCTGTCATGGGCCCCTGTACCGCCTCCTCATGCTGCTGCCAGGTCCAGAGTGTGTCATGGGTCCCTGTACGGCCTCCCATTGCTGCTGTCTCCATCGCCACACTCTGCCATGTGCCACTTTCAGGTCTCCTCACACTGCTGGTGGGTTCCATTTTGTCATAGGGTGCTGGCAGATTACGGGGCCTCCCATTGCTGCTGCCAGGCCCGTAATCTGCCATGGGCCCCCGTACCGACTCCTCATGCTGTGACGTTGCAACAAGGTGGAATTCAACCCTACATATGTTAGACCGCCTTTACGAACAGCGAAAGGCCATCACCGATTTCCTGATGTTACAAGCGGATAAAGGTACTCCCTGTGTAACTTAGATGTCAGCCATTGGCAGCTCATGCGTGACACCTGCCGCTTGCTCAGGCCCTTTGAGGAGGGGCCACGCTATTCGTGAGTCGGCAGGACTATGGGATGAACGACGTCATTCCTCTGTTGCACGTCCTGGAACAAATGCTGTTAACAATGGCTGGTCAGGGTGCGGTAGAGTGGCGCACAGATCTCAACGCCACATGACCCCTGTGGGGGCAGGACAGGAAGAAGAGAGGAGGAGGTAGAGGAGGACATTGGTGCTCAGGAATTATTGAGTGAAATGGGTGGTTTTTCCATCAGCGGACAGGAGTGGAGGAGCAGGAGCATCTGGTAGAGGAGGAGGAGGAGACAGAGGACCCAGACGCACGCCGTGGCAGTATGCTGTGGAGATGGAGGCAGGGAGTCCCTCGCATTCCTTGGCACAAATGGCCCATAGCATGCTCGGTTGCTTGCGTAGCGACATTGCTGCGACGCCGAATAATAACCATCAGACAGAGGGATGACTTTTGGCTCCACCTTGTTGGACCCTCGCTACCGTTCAAAAATGGTGGCCTTTTTCACACCTGCTGAGAGGGAGGCCAAAATAACGTCCTTAAAAACCACCTATGTAGTCAGTTGGTCTCTGCCTTTCTGCGCCAACGTCCATCCTCAGACACTGTGGGCCCTGTGCGCTCGCGTTCCGCTGCCATGGCAGCAGGGGAGGGGTGGGGTGGTAGGAGCAGTGGCAGCTCCACCAGCAGCGGCGGCCTCAGTCTGCAGTCGATGATGAGTAGCTTTCTTCACCAGCGCAGTGAGGAAACTACTAACCAGCGCAGGCAGCAGCAGCATCAGGTGGACCTGGAGCAGGACCTCAAACAACAGGCTTGGGCCTACTTGGACACACCTGCCAACCGAGGTAGACAATCCCCTTGACTACTGGGCAACGAAACTTGACCTTTGGCCCCAACTAGCTGAATTTGCCCTTGAAAGGCTGTCATGCCCGGCCAGTAGCGTGGCATCGGAGGGAGCGTGTTTAGTGCGGCAGGAGGTATTGTAACTCCGCGGAGGACACGACTGTCCACCCAAAGTGTGGAGAGACTCACGTTTGTGTGAAAATGATCAGGCGTGTGTTAGTCTGGATTTCAAACCACCAGTTCCTGACACAACTGACTAAATCCGCCATGAATCATGCCCCAAACATGTTATTATTTTTAACATAGGGGCCTCTGTATGGCCTTCAATTTAAGCTGCTTACGCTTCGCCACTCTGCCATGGGCCCCTGTACCGCCTCCTCTTGCTGCTGCCAGGTCCAGAGTGTGTCATGGGTCCCTGTACGGCCTCCCATTGCTGCTGTCTCCATCGCCACACTCTGCCATGTGCCACTTTCAGGTCTCCTCACACTGCTGGTGGGTTCCATTTTGTCATAGGGTGCTGGCAGATTACGGGCCTCCCATTGCTGCTGCCAGGTCCGTAATCTGCCATGGGCCCCCGTACCGACTCTCATGCATGCTGCTGCCAGGCCCGTAATCTGTCATGGGCCCCTGTACCTCCTCCTCATGCTGCTGCCAGGTCCAGAGTGTGTCATGGGTCCCTGTACGGCCTCCCATTGCTGCTGCTGCCAGGCCCGTAATCTGCCATGGGCCCCCGTACCGACTCCTCATGCTGCTGCCAGGCCCGTAATCTGCCATGGGCCCCTGTACCGCCTCCTCATGCTGCTGCCAGGTCCAGAGTGTGTCATGGGTCCCTGTACGGCCTCCCATTGCTGCTGTCTCCATCGCCACACTCTGCCATGTGCCACTTTCAGGTCTCCTCACACTGCTGGTGGGTTCCATTTTGTCATAGGGTGCTGGCAGATTACGGGCCTCCCATTGCTGCTGCCAGGCCCGTAATCTGCCATGGGCCCCCGTACCGATTCCTCATGCTGCTGCCAGGCCCGTAATCTGTCATGGGCCCCTGTACCGCCTCGTCATGCTGCTGCCAGGTCCAGAGTGTGTCATGGGTCCCTGTACGGCCTCCCATTGCTGCTGTCTCCATCGCCACACTCTGCCATGTGCCACTTTCAGGTCTCCTCACACTGCTGGTGGGTCCCATTTTGTCATAGGGTGCTGGCAGATTACGGGCCTCCCATTGCTGCTGCCAGGCCCGTAATCTGCCATGGGCCCCCGTACCGACTCCTCATGCTGCTGCCAGGCCCGTAATCTGTCATGGGCCCCTGTACCGCCTCCTCATGCTGCTGCCAGGTCCAGAGTGTGTCATGGGTCCCTGTACGGCCTCCCATTGCTGCTGTCTCCATCGCCACACTCTGCCATGTGCCACTTTCAGGTCTCCTCACACTGCTGGTGGGTTCCATTTTGTCATAGGGTGCTGGCAGATTACGGGCCTCCCATTGCTGCTGCCAGGCCCGTAATCTGTCATGGGCCCCTGTACCGACTCCTCATGCCTCCTCATGCTGCTGCCAGGTCCAGAGTGTGTCATGGGTCCCTGTACGGCCTCCCATTGCTGCTGTCTCCATCGCCACACTCTGCCATGTGCCACTTTCAGGTCTCCTCACACTGCTGGTGAGTTCCATTTTGTCATAGGGTGCTGTATGGCCTCCCATTGCTGCTGCCTCCACCGCCACACTGTGGCTCCACACTCTGGTTTTGGCCCCGTGACTGCCCAAATGAGTGAAGTGTGCGGTGATTCTAAGATCGACGGCACTCATCTGCATGTCATACTGACTGACAGTATTATTTCTCTTCCCCAGCAGACTCCAAGGGCATTTAAATTAAAGGTACAGTGTTCTGCACTAATATAAAGGCTCTCTGAAGCCTAGAAACACCCTTTTTATAAGTTAAATTCGCAGCGAATATATTCGACTCGAATCGAATTTATTCCGCGATTTCGCCGAATCAGCCGAATCGAATTTTTGAATAATTCGCTCATCTCTAATCACCACCATACTACCCCCCACAGGGAGGTAGACCATATCATAACAATCAATACAGAGGATTCCCACCTAGAGGCCCACAAGGATATCACAAACATGAAGAATATGGAACACAAGATCAAGGGAACAATATCAACCTAAACTCCAAAGACCACAATACTTTAAAAAACCGGTACCTAAACAGTACAATATACCTCAATACAATAGGTATTCACCACTAGCGTCAGAGGAACCAGGCTCACCCATACCTAATCCTTTTTTAGGATGGAGTCAGAATACCCCAGTAAAGAGGGGAGAAATAAAGGAAAAACCAACAAGGGGTGCAGAGGAGGAAGAAAGCACCAACAAAAAAAGAAGATATTAAAAGGAGAGGGCATTTTTAATCTCAGTGGTGTACCCTTAAAAGAGGAATAAATACACACCTTAGATAAAGGACTCAAATTTGCACCCACTCGAGGTTTAAATAAATTCGATACGTATGTGAGTATACATAAATTAGAAACCTCAAAAAATATTATGCCCAAAATCCAATAACCAGGAATAATAATAATGAACAGGAAGATACTTACCACACCAGTTTAAGGAACAAGTCTGTTTTTAACCCTAATATTATTCATAATAAATATATTGCCATTTTTTTAAAATTAGTAATTAAAGATTTAGAGGCCCTACATATTAAAAAATATAAGGAAGAAACCATTTTGCAAAAAGGTATTAAAAGTTTAGAGAGCAGGAAAGATATAGTAATACGTCCTGCAGACAAAGGAGGGGGCATAGTGATATTGTCCAAAGAATATTATGAGTCCACCATGACTAATATGTTAAGTGATACTGATACATATAGTGAAACGTGCCACAAAAAATCCTGTGAAGTGAAACCACAAATATATACAACCCCCTATCCCCACATGGGGGATAAATAAATCACAAAAAAATATATTATATATAAATGGTGAATATAAAGTGAGTTCCCTAAAATCAGGGATAATAAATTGTGTCCCCTGACAAGAGGATAAAACTTTAACTCAAAAGTGATATGTCACCTTTAAATGATGTTAATAACATATAAGTGAATAAACATAACATCAAAAATTCCAGTCCACAATTAAAAAAAATCACATGTGAACTTATACACGTGATCCACAAACGAAAATCATGCACGTGATGAAGTGAAACTCATGCTCACAGCAAAGGTGTAAATATCCAAAAATGGCCAGAGTGCCCCCTCACCTCCTTATGGTGACCACGAGGGCCAGCTTGCTTTTTAGATCCTTACAGGAACTATTACGTCACAGGGGAAATCACCGCACTGGGTCTCATCAGTAATAGCACTTACTCCTCCTGGGTCCACTCCAGATATAGATACTCGCAATATCGCTCTTACTCCATCAGAGGATCATAGTAATAAAACAAAGAAGATCCTCCATAGTGTAATCCAGTTTATTACATAAATAAATGAAAAAAACGCCAAAAATTGCCCACTCACATATAAATCTAGGAACAATCAGCCTTTCCTCATGTAATGGGTGTACTGCATGGGTATCCTGGTGTACCAAGATGGCGCCCACGCCGGAAATGATGTCACCGCGCATCGGAAGTCCGTCACTGCGCACCAACGGATTACATCACGCTACCCACGTGATTTCATCAGGGTAATGCCCATGGTGACATGAATGCCTTATATAGGAGGCCTAAGTGTCAATCATTCCGAAGGACAAGCTCTGGCAGCCATTTTCTTGGAGCCCAGTGCATTATATTGAAAACGGTGCTGACATGGATCAGCTGTTAGCTTACAACTCAATCCATCGATCCTACTACATGGCTAAATGTATATTCGTTTATTATAATGGGGAGCTATATATGGAGTAAATGTGTAATACTCCATAATGGGCTAACAAACAAAAAGGAAATAAAAAATATATAAACATGGATATTTAAAAATAACGGTGGCCATGTTTAGGAGGCCCACTAACACTAATTAATAATAGGACGCATTCTACCTCTAAAAACCTTTATTTAAATATAACAAAAAAACTACTGAATAAAATAACTAAAACCCAATCTGACTTTTATGTATAAACCGAGGGGAATTATAGATGCCATGATATATACCCTCTTAAAAATACCATGTGGACACACCCATAACATAAATTAACATATTATTCAATAATTTACTCTAACCCTTAAAACCCAGAAGTTCAACCATATACATATTAATCTCATAAAACAATATCACAATCTCATCATTAATAATATAAATACAAAATAAAAAACTACATATTCTTTAAGATATATAAAATAAATATTTACTTAAATAATTAATAATTGACAACCAGGTGGAACTAAGAATATTAAATAAATAAATAGATAAATAACTTCCATCAGATTATACCTCCTATACTTAAAAATCTAAAAAATGTAGTGAGCGCTCCTGTATAATAATAAAGTAAGCAGCTAATAGCACTAAAAGGAGATCACAACCGCCTGATGATGTGCCTTAGCACGAAAGGCTTCAGGAGGAACTAACAGCCTGTGACGCCTTATTGCCGCCCAGACCACGAGGAAGTCTGGCGGCCATTCTACTATTCAGGACACAGCTTCCAATTTACACTACATCCAGAGGAGGGAAGCCTTCACCTGGAGGGATTCTTTATCCGGTTGATCCATCCTGATCCTAAGGAGGTCCTGTGAGCCCAGAAGACTATCGTTTGATGACATCCCTTCCTGAGGGAGATCGATATCTGTGGAATTTAATACACACATGCGCATTTCCTATGCGCGGTCGGTGAGTGCGCATTTTTGCCATTTCTTCCGGATTCCTCATAGCTGTGCCCACTTTAATATCATATTGATGAACTAAACGAACATGTGATAACAAATTTCAGATCAAACTTTTTAGATCGAACTTTTTAGATCGAATTCTCTGCTTGTTGATTTTAGCGCTGCACTTTATCTATACTTAAAAATCACTAATAAAACAATTCAGGTCAAAATCTACATTTAGGCCTCTAGGTACCTAAGTCTGCATGTTGTAGATCCACTTAGATTCCACCTGACTAAGAAAACGCACCTTATGACTCCCTCTCCAGTGACTTCTGTATTTTTCTATTCCCCAAAATTCTAATTTGGAAGGATCCTTGTTATGATATACAGGAAAATGTCTTGACACACTGTTTCGGAAAGCCCTATTTTATGTTTTGTACATGTTCCCATACCCTTTTCCACAGTGGTCTTTTAGTTCTACCTATATATCGCAGGCCTCATTGACATTGGAGTCCATTCACTACACCTTCCGTCCTACATGAAATGAAGTCATTAATTTTAAATTCAACTCCATTATTGGTAGACACAAAAGATTTACACTTATGATTATGTCCTCTCGTTTCCCTGCAAGCATAACATATTTTGCATGGGAAAAATCCCTTCTGATCCAGGAAAGTAACCACCTTATTTTTAATAGGTGGATCCAATAAATTTTTCACTATTTTAGTCCTTAGCGTAAGTGCTTTCCTACAAATAAATTTAGGATGTTCTGATATTATATTATTTAAAATTGGGTCTGCTTTAAGAATAGGCCAATGCCTTCCAAAAATCTTTTCAACCCTTTTAGAATGCGCATTAAAATCTAAAATGATGGCAACCTGGTCTCCTATGTTTTCTTCCTTGGTTTTATCCACCAGAAGTGATGTTCTTTCTATATCACCAACTGTTTTTATCTTCTTTAGAATCTGTTCTCGTGGGTATCCTTTCTTTACAAAACTTTCCCCAACTATTTCCACTTGTTCCACATAATCCTCCTTAGTTATGCAATTTCTCCTCAATCGGACAAATTGTCTCTTAGGAATATTTAACAACCAAGGAGGATAATGGCAGCTATCACAGGGAATGTAGCCATTACAGTAAACACTTTTAAAAAATGTTTTGGTGATAATACTACCTTTATCAATTCTAATATTCAAATCTAAAAAATTGATG